CAAGTCAAGTCAAAAGTAGTGATGGCCAACCGACAGTGGACAACCTGCATCATCGATTACGATGCAGACGTGGGTTATTATTAATTATTATGCAAGCTTACTAACTTTAGATTATGGGAACACTTAATACGGTCAAGTTCATGTTTGGACTCCATAGAATCAAAAATATATTTTTTTTCAAAACTTATTTTTAATCACACATTTTCAATAAAATAATATTGCACATAAATCTAAATTATTTCTTTACTATTTGAACACATATTTTCTAAAAAATTAATATTCTAAAATATATTTTTTCTAAAACCTCATTTTAATGGAGCCCAAACAACGACTAAATTTGCTTTGATAATAGGAAGGAACTTACAAATTTTATTTGAACACGTCCAAAATGAATACAGGCTGGCCTTGCTCGCAATTTCTTTATTGTACCTTTCACGCTAACCAATGCAATTATAAATTGAAAACAATGCCGGCCTGTATTCAATTAAGAAATTGCAATTTGTAGCCTTCTTTGTAAATGAAAAAGAATAATTCTTCAGGTACAGAAATAATTGACAAATTTTTTACAAAAATTCGAAATTTGTGAATCTCGTCCCTCAATCTGTGTTCTCTCTCTTCACTTGATTGAATCCCTTCCCTTCAATTCAAATTCCAATAAAAACTAGGCATTGTGTTGTTACTTGTGAAAGTGCAACTTATGGAATGGTTTATCGTTAATTCCAGTGTTTCAAAACCTAGTTTTTTTTTTCTTGAATTTATAGGCATGGCTTATGAACTACAAAATGTCAATATTTAGTCCCTAAAGTTTATAATATTTACCTCGTTAGTCATTGAGAATTTGAGATTGATACCTTCCATAGAACCTACCAGCAATGTTGATTTGGCCAACAGTATATTAATATGACATGACAATGGATATTAATTATCCCAAAAAAAAAAAAAAAAACACCGTGGTTCACTTCATAAATATTATTTTTATCTTGGATTCATGGGTTGATTTCAGTTGTTATTTATAAATTTAGATTATTTACGAACATATTTATAATTTCATAGACGAACTAGAATTTTATCCATTAGTTCAAATGATTAGCAATTGCTCGAATTCTTAATTTATAATAACAGTCTGGCATTTCAAACCGTATGGGAGGTATCATAGTAGAGGTGGCAAAAAAGCTCGCCGACTCGGATGGCTCGGGCTCAGTGGAACCGAGCCGGGCAGGCCCAGCCCCATGATTAATTAAAAAAAAAAATTTAAGCTAA